TGTCCGTTTCATTTCCATGTAGGAGAAGCTTCATGCCAAGGGAAACCGTCTTGCCAATGTTAATAGACTGGTTCTCTGCAATTTCAGATCTCGCTTTCTTTTGGGCTGCATTACTTAAGCCTTTGTCTTCGTTTTCCTTGTCTTTCTTCGCCTTATGTTTTCTCTTCTCCTCAGATCTTGACTCTTCTCGGTTTTGGCGGGAAATACGGTTGGTTATTTGCTTCTTGGCCGCCTTCGAGGAAAGCGCCTTCTTTTGCCAATTGGCAAGAACGGCTTTTTCTTCAGCTTCTTGGTCAAATGACTCTGAATCGGACTCAGTCATTTGAAGATCTTCTGCGTGAACATTTTTCAATGAAAATTCGCGAAATTCAGGCCGTGGTTTTTTCGCTGTTGGCTGCTCTGTAAGATCTTCAAAGTCATAGTCATCAAATTTCTGAGGTTTCTTTCGTCTCCGTTCCGATTTATTGCTGATCTCGGCCTTTTCACGCGATTTCTTAAGGCGGTCAATAAATTCGCTACACTCTTTCTTTGTGCCCTTTTTAAGGTTTTTTGCCGTAAAATAGGCCTCTGTAAGCTCCCCATTTTCATCCACAACTTTCCATAGAACCCGGGTAGAGCCATTTTCTTCCTTAACCTTGCTTTCTGGCACAATGTGAGGCCCTCGCGACTTAGCATCCTCTAATGGAAATTCTACTGCGTAAAAAACTGCCATGATTCTACAACCGCCTAATCAAAAGACTCAGCAATTACCACTGAAAGATTTAGGTGAACACCAAGAGCTCGCCAACTGACCTTGAGAAGATTTCAAATGTCCCGCTTTGAATTCAATTGACCTGTCACTGGAGAATGGGAAAAATGATATTGAAAGAGCAGGGATTGGTTACAAGTCGGTGAATGTCACGATCCTCTCTATGGTCTAGTCACATACTGAAACATCAGCGCTGTACATTAAACGTTTTTTGAGGTCAAACTGAGAATAAGTAAAAATATTTTGTCCCTTAAAGGGAAAAGCTACAAGCTCAGATAGTGGATGTGATTTCTTTTTATTTGCGTGAGTCATCATGAATCAAAACATTCCTCGTATTAATTTTTTTTCCGGTTGAAATGACTTTGATGACAGATAAGTATAAAACAGCACGCAAATTCGTTAACGTAGACTTGTTTCGATCAGCTTTTTTTAACACGCTGAGTACAGTTTTGATAAACACATCGAAATCACATTACCTTTAAGTCAAAGCAGATTGGATATGATGTCTCAACCATTACAAATACGTTTTTTCTTTGCGTCATTTACCATCCGATACTCAAGAATCCCATTCCTTCCAAGATGATAGATAAGTTTTTAATCTTTTGCGGCACCGACCGAATGCCTGATGTAAAGGATTTTATCAGGTATTGCAGTGATATTTTGCTTCAAAGTATGGATAACCTCGACAGTTCTTCAAGCAGCGAGAAAACATATTCAAGTTCTGATGACGAAAATGAAAACCCAGGATATGGGGAAAGCAAAGTCAAAGAACCGAAACAAAAATCTAGACAGCTTCGGTATTATCACAGAAAGAATGAGGGCAAGATGAAAAGGAAATATACACCTTTCAGAGATCAAAAAAATCCCAGTAGGCAACTAAAGAAATATCATAAAGATGTCGAAGCCGCCTGCAGCACTCTACCAGTTTCACCGATGGACACTGCTGAATCAGTGGAAATAATGAGTGATACAGACATAAATGAAGAAATGAAGATCGGCATGACTGAGGAAATTCAGGATGTCCCAAATGTGATTTCTTCTGATAACTTCGAAGATGAAGCTGCCCTCAATACCACTTCTTCATCAGAGGAGGAAAGTGAAACATCATCTTCAGGTAGTGAAGATCGTTTTTCCCAAAGTGAACAGGAGGAGATGGAAGGGATGGGCCGTGAACCAGCAAATTTGAACAAAACTGCGCTTCGTGACGAGGAAATGCCACTTTATCAAGGCAGCGCAATATCAAAAATTTTATCATGTGTGCTAGTTGTAAGCTTTGTTTTAAAGCACAATTTAAGTGCAGCAGCCTGGGCAGATCTCCTTCGCCTGCTAACCGCCTTTCTTGGAGACCGATGTAGACAAACATTTCAGTCAGTGTACAAAATGAAACTGATCATGAAAGAATACTTTGGCTCCAAGGAACCAACAAAGATAAATTACTGCACTAACTGTTTACAGGCTGTTGAAGACAAGTGCCCAAATACCAAATGCTCCAAGGCAGGAATGTCGAGTTTTCTAGATTTGCATTTAGAAGAAAAGATCAAAGACCTTTTTAGAGATTCTGAATTTATGAACTTATTAAAGAAAGGAAAAGAGCAGGTAAAGCGTGCAGCTAGCTGTAGTAGAATTCATGACATATACCATGGACTTGACTACAAGAATTTCATACATCCTGGGGGCTTTCTCTCACAATTGTACAATATTTCGTTTACAGTTAACACTGATGGAGTAAACAAATATTCGTCTTCTAGGGCAGGTCATTTGTGGCCGGTTTACATCATGATCAACGAACTCCCTAAAGAATACCGATTCAAAAGAAAGTTCATTATTCCTGCCTACATCTATTGCGACAAACACGATCCAAACATGTTGACATTTCTCAACCCTTTGATTGAAAAGCTCAATGTTCTCAATTCGACTGGAATACATGTATCGGACAGTGCAGATGGAGATATCAACGTCCGATGTATGTTATTTCTAGCAACAGCCGACTTACCTGCACGAGCTGACTTGATGAATATGAAACGTTTTAATGGAAAATGCGCTTGCCATCTTTGCAAGTCAGAAGGAGTTGGCTACGGACCAAACAACATCCATAGATACTGGCCATTTGAACAAAGCCCCATAAAAAGGACTCATGAAGATCAGTTAAAATTTGCATCAAAGGCCACAATTAAGCAAGCGGTGATGGGAGTCAAGGGGCATAGCATTTTCGCAAAGCTTTCGTATCCGTTTGATTTGGTGCGTTCATTTGCAATTGATTGGATGCACTCCGTTTGTCTTGGAGTCGTAAAGTACATTATGCATCTACAAACGTCTGATGGAAACAAGGACAAAGTCTTTTTTATAGGGGCAAAGACTCTGTCTATGTCCCATAAGCTTCTTTCGATAAAGCCGCCAGACATTGTTGGGAGATTGCCCAGATCATTAGAAGATCTTAAACACTGGAAAGCCACAGAACTTAAAAACTGGCTACTGCATTATTCTGTGCCAGTGTTGTACAAAATCTTAAATCCTCTGTACATTTTTCACTGGTCTCTTCTTGTCGGAGCAACTGGAATCTTGTGTTCTGATTCAATATCGAACACAGATCTCAAAGAGGCAGACGGCATGCTACAAGACTTTGTTCTTTTAATGGGAATACTCTATGGGCCAACAAGATGCACCATGAATGTCCATTTATTGCAACATTTAGCTTATTATGTTTCACGTCGAGGACCTCTATGGGCATACAGTTGCTTTGCCTTTGAAAGCATGAATGCTTTTATCAAACCACTAGTTCATGGAACGCATCACGCTATGGAGCAAATTGGATGTGCAATTGGTCTTTGCTTCGGCCTTTCTAATTTTACGAAAAAGATTCTACAGCACAATGACATTCCTAGGGACAGCAAAATGTTGTTGCGAAGTCTTACTGGTTATTCTAAAAGTTCTAACAAAGTGTCTGTTAAAGTACATGGGGGTTACTTAAGTGGAAAAGAAAGAAGAAAGTTGATTGACAACAACAACCTGACCTTGGTACGGATCTTTGTAATAGCAAACAAGTTACCCGCAGATTATGAACTTGAACCATATCGCAGATTTGAGAGTGATGACGGACAAAAGTTTTTTTCTTTGGGCACGAAAACACGCAAAACTGACTCAACTGTAATTGAATATTTTGACAGAAACAATACGCTTTGTTATGGCAGAGTGACACACTTTTTAAAGATACACGATTTTGGACTTTGTGTTGTCAATGAACTGGAAGAAAACTCTGAACAATTACTATTTTTTAATGAACGTGACTGCATTGAAACCCTACAGTCTTTAACTGATGATAAGCAGAACAAAGATATCGTGCGTGACATTTTGAGAAAGTATCGCAATAGATGCCTTGTGAAACATCACGTGCACATCAAACCAAGGTCCGGAAGGGCATTTGTGATATCTGTTCAGCAGATAAGACGTAAATGTGTCTTTATTGATATTCTTCCCAACAATGCGTTGATGATTTCTCGTTTTCCCAATGTAAATGAACATAACTAAAACTGTGCAAATATTGATTTTCTGGTAAGTCGTTACTGTTTTTATTTGCCAGATGAGTGCTAAGATATGCTGCTACGTGGTGTTGTTTTTTTAAATAAAGTTTGCAAATTATTTTTACACTGAAATGTGAAGTTAGCTCCCCTCTTTGGTTATCGTAAAGAAGTGAAACTTCAACTCTGTTCCTCTTTGAACTAAAACTTTGTTATTTAATTTTGCCCGAACCAAAGTTCGTTTTTTGATTTCATCGGTTATATCTCCGTTACTCAGGCGGTTTCATGAGCATCCCATCACAGTCAGCCTGTTCGCTGCATTGTCTTAAATTCAGCACATAATGGGCTCCAGGTGATAAATTCATACATAATGGAAATCAAAATTCAAAATTTGGGGTTTTAGTTGAACAGCTTTACCCATTCTATCCATTCTGTCAATAAATGGCGCATTAACTCGTAAACAGGTCTATGCGATTAACCGCGGCATATAAATTGCTGAAACATTTACTTTCAGTCTCTCTTAGAGTGATAAGCAGTCCGATCAATTAAGACCGTGATACGTGATCACGCCTTCACTGATGAAAAAGGAGTGATCACGGGTGTGATCACTCTAATCACGCATTTATCACGCCTTCCTTTTTTGTGATCACGCTAAAAGGAGTGATCACACCCGTGATCACGGGCGTGATTTGTGATCACTCTGTGATCACAAAATATTTTTACTGGGGTCTTACAGAAAATCTTGTATTCGACTGTCTCTTCGTGAACTAGATGAGCCATGTAATACTCAAAAGAAGGAGGACTTTCTCACGGCATGGAAACTAATTATGGACCTGCCACCAACTAATCCGAACTCATTCTGGTCAATAGCATCATACCATGGCATGCCATTCAAATACCGTGAAGTTCCACTGCTTGGGGATGAAAGTAAGAAGGACTCCAGTGGCACTAGTAACGATAAGGTTCGAGAACTGGAGACAATGTGGGGTGGCTACTGCCAACATGCCAATGTTCTCTTCCCATTTTGGCACCGACTTTATTGCCATCGTTTAGAACAGGCACTGCAGTCAGTACTGGAAAAGGGGAAAGAACGAGTGGCATTGCACTACTGGGATGAATCAAGCGAAGAAACCAAGAAGAAAGGTCTGCCCGACATCGTCACACACAAGAAGGTGAAAATTGGTGGGAAGAGTGTGTCAAATCCCCTGTTCAAATTCACGCTGCCCATGCCCATTAATGATTATGTTCCAAACAAGAAAGAAGATGTTCCAAGCTTTGATGTAAATAGCAAGTTTTATCAGAAAGAAGTTGGCTATGACACCTGCAGGTATCCATACTCGGGCATCCGAAATCCTGATGCTGCTAAGGAAGCCGCAGACCGTCACAATGCCAGTATCAAAGAGGAAGATGCGATACCCCTTTTACAAGAAAACATCAAGCGCTGGCTACTTGGTGGTAACACAGGTGAAGTATGTAAACCACCTGAAGCGTGTGAACTAGTTATGGGTGTTGCCGAGCAGTTTGAACGTTGCCTTGAGACACAAGAGTACAATCCATTCTCAAACACGACAAGTGCTGGTTGTGATAAGCTTGGTTCATTTGCTTCAATTGAGCAGCCACATAATGATCTACATTTGGCCGTAGGTGGATTCACACAACCGGAAATTAATAAAGATGGAAGCGTCAAAGAGGATGCCCAGGGCAACGTCAAGTTGCTTGGTCCAATTCACGGAGCAAATGGTGACATGGGTGCGAACGAGGTGGCTGCGTACGACCCAGTTTTCTTCTTGCATCACAGCAACATTGATCGCATGCTTTCGGTCTGGCAGAAGAAGCATAAGAAGACGAATCCGGGACCATTCACCATTGACAACAGTGATGAAAATGACCAAGGCATCTCGAACAGCAGGCAAGGTGCTACTCCCTACCAGACATGGGGCCAAAAGCTAAACGAGAATACCATTCTTTACCCGTTTCAAGATGAGTACGGTGTCCCTCGAAAATCCCTCGATTGCATCGACATTGTCAGTCAGCTTGGTTATGATTACTCCATTGGCTCGCTGGATCGACAAGACTGGCCTGAACCTGAAGAAGTAAAGACGATCTCCCTGCTACATAAACGCGTGGAGGACATTCGTTCTGAGCTGGAAGATTTTGAACGGAAAAAGAAAAAGAGAAGTGCCACAGGTCCCCAACGCCTCCGACTGATATTTGACCTTACTCAACTTCCTGAAATGCAGGAATGTTTTCCTGGCATGCCCATGTTACCACATGCTCCTTTCGACTTTGAAATAAAGGGACTGCATTGCCGTTTGGAAGATTTTATTCAGGTCTTGGATGTCAGCAAGGACAAGATTTCAGGATCTTTCCTTGTGCAAGTGTTCTACAGAGCAACTACTGGAAAGCTATACTATCTGGGACAGCGCGGTGTTCTGTCCAGGTGGAGCAGAAGCAACTGCGCTAACTGCCAGGAACGCAGGATGGCTGACATCTCCATTCTAATCAAAAGAGTGGACAGTGCTCATTTTGACCTAAAGAAAAACCTAGAGGTGCACCTTGTGGGTAAGGACGGGATGAACGGTAAGTACATAACAGAGGTAATCCCTGGCAAAGATCTGGCAGCTGACGGAAGTGCTCCTTGTAAGCAAAAGCCTTTACTTCGCATCGTCAGGGTTCTTTCGCTATACTAAGAGTGAAGACATAAAATCCAGCATAAGAGGGAAGCGCGGTTCATTATCAATTTTCAATTATTACTAGCAAATTGTGGACAAAATTATTACCAAGTCAGCATTAAGTACAAGTATGTATCATCAGAAAGTTTATATTAGGTGCATTTCTAATTTCAAGAAAGTTAAATCCTCGCTACTTTAAAGCATTAGTGCTTGAGATGCATTATTACTATAAAATTTGCTTCATTCAATTCAGGATGGAGACTATTCTTGTCTGAATTGCTTCAAGATCTGTGAAAACTGAAAAAAATCTTCCATATTTCTTTTGCTAGCCAACTACAGTAGATTATAGATGATATTCACATGCAGTAAAAGTTTGAATCATTTACGTAATCATTGTTATACCTGTAGCTTTTTTTTCTTTGAAATTCTACCACCACTACAGTATCAAAATTTTATTAAGTGTATAATTAGCATGTAAAGCTTATAAAGTTTCCCGAATAACCAGCTGCACTTTTTGCACTATTTCAATTTTGACAATATTGTTACTAATCTTAGCCTTCATGATATGGAAAACATCAAACCCTATGCTTTTAGCCTATTTTAATCATCATAAGCTTTTAGAAACTGGGTTTTTTTATCATTTCTTTTTTCTCCATGTGTACTTGCTTATTTTGTTTGCTTATTAGAGCTTACACTATGTGACAACAAATTGTGAGTAAAATTTAAGTAAGAAGATTAACAGTGTGATCATAGCAGATTTAGTCACTTTTTTGCAACGATGAACTAATAATCAATCAATAAAAATCGACGTTTGTTTTTAGCAGTTCAATCCCTCATAGGTACATATAAACGTATAAAAAAATAATGTTTTTAAAGCATGTTTTTTGTGCATTAGTAGGACAAAAGCTTTCAAGTTCAGCATACTAGCAAACCAGATACATTTATGTATATTCAGTTACTTAGTAGGTTTGTAACACATAATAGCCTAACTGATTACAACATTACTCCATGGGGTCCATGAAGGCACTAGGTTCTAGTACCGGTCTATGCTGACTTTCTGTTCAAAGTCATCTTTGAGTCGAATTCATGATCAGTTGTGATGCCATCGTTGTAGAGGGTCTATTGATAGAAGGTGGTAGCAAACTTGAATAGCAAAACTCTTTTGGCAAGCCACAACAATTGTAAGTGCTTGCATGGACTAGTAGGTAGCCTTATGGCCTAATAGATATTTTACAACCTACACATTTAAAAATAAGTAATCATATTTTTTCAAACAAATTTCAACCCTACTAGAGGAGACTTTTGACAGTGAGGGTAAGGTAGAATCTGTGCCCAGCCATGTGATTCTGTTAGCCTGCATTTTTACATATTTTACTATTCCCGCCAATTTCGATGATTTGGCTTATTTTATACGAGTGAATGTTTTATATTCGAGTGTTTGATGATTTGGCTTATTCTATTTTGTTGATTTTTTTGATACTTAAAGTTTAAAACTGGGGTTTAATGAGGTGACCGTGCTTAAGCTCCCAAGAACGTGATCTTAAGGTAGGAAAGTTATCAACATGTGATGTACCAGGCTGTTCCTAAGCAACGCGTCCCATTCCAAATGGTAGCACAAGTGGACGTGTTTAGAAAGCCCTCACGAGAAGTTTCGTGTGTTCCCAAAGTCTTCCTTTTTGTTGGCTTTATACTGGACATAATGGCGGGCCAACTTGATCATTTCTACCGCAAAAGCCGTAAACAACTTTTGTTCTCTTAACCCGAGCAATTACTTAGGTTGCTCTGGAACCACGAGTGGCACGTAATGCTAGCACCACAGCCTGGTCATCTCTCCTAGCAATAATGAAGCTGTAATTAAGTACTTTAGCTAAGTTACCGGTTTGTAAGAATCATCCTGGCCTGTTTGCCAGCAAGAACTGTGGAACTGCTTTAGTTCGCTCTACAGCGAACCAGGAACACTTTAATTAGTTTGTTTAATTACTTTCTTAATTAACATGCTGTAACAATAAGCTTTTCACCGTTTGTAATCCGTTCCCGAAATGAGATCACGTTCCGACAAGTTTGTACTGAATTGATAGCAGCTCTCGCACGCTACAAGTCAACTATTACAGGTCAGCGAACGAAGACCAGTACGCTCAGTGATTGGTATTGAAACACCTCTCGGTTGGTTTTGCATTGACTTAGGTCCGGTTAATCATTAAAGATAGAGTGAGACGTAACACAGTTAGCGAAACGCGGAATCGGCGCTAATCCGTCAAAGGATACCGAAAGGTTACCGCTTTTTGAATAGAACCTGCTTTTGACCAATCACTGCGTAGATTGTAGCGTCTTGCGTTCTATTGGTAGCGTGGTTTTTAGTGTAGAGTAAGAGAGTGTTAGCTGACGGCCAGGCGGTCAAGACCTATTAAAACCTCATTTGAAGTCAAGACTGGTCTGCCAAGTTTTCCTTCAGAAGTTAATTCCCCCAAAAGAGACAATCCCGAAAAGCCCCGTAACAGATTGACAACAAGTCCCGTAACAATTCTCTTCAAAACAGTGCAGCTTATGCTGTTGTTGGAAGAGTAGGGTGAGAAGGAGTATTTCTCCTGAGCTCTCCTTGCAGTCCTAGATGGGATGCTGGTCTGTTACACGGTAAGCTCACCAAGTACCAATTGTACATCTGGGTAGTGAGAGGCACTGCGAGAGTAAAGTGTCTTGCCCAAGAACAAACCAGATTAGACTGCTTGATGTGCAGTCCAGAGCACCAACCATTTGTGAGAGTTTGAATTAAATTGAATTGAGACCACCATGTTTCGTCCATTTCCAAAATAACAAATTATAACTAAATAGCCTGAAGCTAAATGGTCAAAGATTGAAGTCCGATGCATGCATTGGAAAGAAATTCATTTGGATCCCTTCCCCCACAAATGAACATTCTTCAACAAGATACCCCAGGCACTGCTAGATTATCTCGTCACATCCATGCAACAAAAAATTCTTGAAACAGCTGAACAAGTCAACAGTGGTACAACCACTTTCCTGCTCAATTCATTTTTGCCAGATCTAGATTTGTGTCTTATTTATAATGATAATAGGACTGAGTGGAGTCCAATTCATTCTGATCATACGAGTGATTAACAAAATTGGACGACCGCGCAGCGGGAGTCTGATTTGTTAATTACGAGTATGATTACAGACTGAATTGGACTCCACTCAGTCCTATTACCATTATAAATAAGACACAAATCTGGCAAAAATGAATTGAGCAGGAAAGTGGTTGTATCACTGTTGACTTGTTCAGCTGTTTCAAGAATCTTTTGTTGATGATGTCCTGTTACCAATTAATCGTAACAATTATAATTTTCCACAAAAGTAAAATTTTCAATTGAAAAAGAGCCTTTAATAGTCATTTTTAAATGTCATAATTAAAAATATGGAAAATAGCTTGCAAATTGTCTGTTAAGTTTCGTTGAAAACAGTCACCGAAGACTAAACCTCTCCACTATTTTACAAAGTCAGTCTTGTAAATTGGTTACCATAGTGATTGTAATCAATTTTGTGTTTGGTGGATTTAGTGGAGAGGACTTAAAATCATTGGCTCATGTACCTGTCCGATTACAGCCAGCTGTCCAGTTACAACTTTGCAGAATAATTAGTGCAAAATACAACAGTTTATGCATCCGTGACCATAATAGAGAGATTTAACAAAGAGGACGCGTACGGCAACGGCAACGGCAACGCCACAAAATAAAAGGCTTAACCCATTCGCTCCTGGAGATTTTGCCGAAAAACGCGTTTTGAAGCTAGTCGAGTGGTTTTCTGGTCACTGTCGTGCTATAAAGAGCTAAGACTTACCACAAACCGGTTTACAGGTCGTACACTTCGCGGCCTTCTGATCCAGATGCAAAATATTAGCTTGCGAAGTTCGGGCATGCGCAGAAAGCAAAATTTCGAGATTTTGGGTTTAAAAGTGACACAGCAGTCTTGACTTTTACTTTTCGCTTTCTCTCCTCCCTTCTTTTTTCCCTTTTCTTGCCTCATTTTTTTTCTCTTGCTGGACATTTAGTAGGCTTCATTTTGGTGGGAAGAGTTTTTAGGAAAGCTTTTAGGATCTTGGGATTAGGTGATTTTCATGGAGATTTTCAGGTCAATGTCACGTGGTTTTTTTGCTTCTTTCTCCGGTGTCCTTGACTGAATTGTGTTTATTCTGGTATGGTTTGAAAGATATCTTCACTCTGCACAAGTTAGCGAAGAAAGTTGTCCTTGACCGTTAAAACTGATGACGTCACAAAGGGTAGAAAGGACCTGGATCCGCACGGGCGGTTACTGGCGGTTCAGGGGCGAATGGGTTAATGAGCAAAAATAATAACTCTGCACGCACGTTTTAAAGTTTTGTCATTTCTTTGTCGTCCTCTGCAAAACAACAACGTCAAATGACCAATTTTTAGGTTTTTTCGAGAACGTGAGCGCATGACGGTAAATCTTTGCTTCTTTTTTTTCACTTGAACGCCGTTCCTAGAAATTTAGACCCTAAACAGTTCCTCAGCATTTTCCATGTGAAACAATTTGGCATAATCATGAAAGAGTCAGAAGAACGAGAAGAAATATTTTGAAGTGACGTTTTCGTTGCCGTTGCCGTCCTCGTTGCTAAATCTCTCTAATGAACCCTTTGAACCGCAACTTGTTAATAAGTCGGTAAAAGGTTCACAAAAGTCGATAAAAGGTTCACATAATGAACCCATTCATCATAATCAACATTGAACTCGATTTTGGTCTCTACACGTCGAGAGCCGTTATCAACAAGAGTATTGACAATGAAAATGACGTAATATGTAACGCAACGCTCAGCAATCCCCAACATGTAGGACAAATTGTCAAAATTTGTTCTTGTAAAAGAATTGCAAATTTACACAACATGAACACTGGCGAGTTTTCAAATTTCGATACCGGTGTATGTACTGGGTGCAAATTTCGGCGAGGAGAGA